TTTGATATTGGCTTTTAATATTGAGGTCAAATCAATTTATTAGATTGATTAGCCGACCACCCAATTCATGATTGTAGGTTCATTTACCACCAAACCACTTGCCTATGATGGCTTACCTAATTAAATCATGGAACCATTTAACACGGTTAGTGGAGTCATGTGTTAGACATTAATGCTTTATTTTTTTCCTATTTTTTATCCAATTTTCATTTTTAATGAAAATAATTCTCATTTGTCACACTTTTTTTATATGATGAATATATAATATCATAGAATGTACCCTATCTTATCTACATTTTTCTATAATTTGGTGTATTGTATTATTTAATTATAATATCATGTGTTGATCCATGTAATGTGGACAATTGAACCACTAATCCACCACTTGGATGAAAAAAAGTCTTTTTTTCAGTTGATTTTAAATCTTATATTCCATTTTCATCATTAATAGAAGTAATTATTTTTCTTATATTTATTTTTGTTTAATATTATGAATATATAACATTAGAATTGTATCAAAATGCTTTATACAAAGCTTATATTTTTCTTTGAGTTTTTATATATTTTTTTAATATTTATTTCTTAGTTATGACATCATAAGACCCATTTGACCTAGAAGATTAGATCATTAACCTACCATCTAGATATGAAATTGATTTCATTTTTCAGACTAGTTTTAAATTTTGATTTAATTTATATCACTAAGAAAATAATTATTATTTGGCATACTTATTTTTTATTTATATGATTAATATATAATATTATAGATGTGCTCAAAATTGTTTCGTATTTTTTGTATTATTCTATTTAAAAAAATATTTTTAATTATACATAATGAGTTAACCCATTTGATCTGAAAGGTTGAACAACTAATTATCCCCCTAGATAGGAAAATTGTTTCATTTCCCATCGGTTTTAAGTTCTATATTCTATGTCCATCATTAATAAAATTATGTTCATTTTATCATACTTAATTTTTTTAATATAAAAAATATGTAATAGTAGAAATGTGTCCAATTTTTTCAAAATTTCTTTATTTTCTATATTTTTATACTTTTATATTTTTAAGTTTTTATTATTTATTTATGACATCATGGAATTATCCATTTGACCTAAATGGTTAAACTACTTACCACCTAGATGGAAAAATATTATTTCATTTCTAGGTTTATTTTAAAAATATAAAATTTCATTATATTTGTGTATTGATTTATTAGAGGAATTTAATGATGAGAAACGAAACTATAAATGACTTATATGTGAGACTTGAATGAGACAGAGAGTATGTGAGACTTAATTTACCACTTAATAGTATTATTTTAATTGCATTTTCTACTTAAATCTTGTATTTCATTTTCATCATTAATAAAAGTAGTTCTTATTTTCATATTTAATATTATGAATATAAAACATTAGAATTGTATCAAAATATTTTATAAAAAGGTTATATTTTTCTTTGAGATAGTATATAACATTAGTATATATTTTTTTAATATTTATTACTTAGTTATGACATCATAGATTGAACCATTTTACCTGGAAGATTAGATCATTGACCTACCATCTAGATATGAAAATGGTTTCATTTTTCAGTCTGGTTTAAAAATTTGCATTTAATTTATATCACTAATAAAATAATTATTATTCATCATACTTATTTTTTGTTTATATGATTAAGATATAATATTATAGATGTAGGGGTGAGCATTCGGTTTATTCAGTTAAAAAGTTAAAAACTGAACCAAATAAACTGAAAATTTTTAAAACCAAATTAAAAAATAAAAATCAAATCAAAACCAAATAGTAGAAAAACCAAAATTTTCAATTTGGCTTTTAGTTATTTCGATTAAAACCAAATTTTAATAATGTATATACTATATTATATGCATTATAACATATAATATAATATATATTGTAAAAGCAAACTTCATTATATTAAATACTATATATTGCATATGATATACAAAAGTTCATTTTATTCGGTTAATTGAATTTCTAATTCTAACAACCGAATAACCAAAACCCTTAAAAAACAAACCAAAATTTTCAATTCGATTTTAACTGAATTATGCTCACCCTTATAATAGATGTGCCCAAAATTGTTTTGTATTTTGTGTACTATTCTATTTTAAAAATTTTATTTTTAACTATACATCATGAGTTAGGTTGAACCACTAACCCACCCCCTAGATAGGAAAATTATTTCATTTCCCATCAGTTTTAAGTTGTATATTCAGTGTCAATCATTAATAAAATCATGTCTATTTTATCATACTTATTGTTTTAATATAACAAATATATAATAATATAATTGTGTCTAATTTTTTCAATTTTTTTTTTTTATTTTCTATATTTTTGTATTTTTAGTATTTCTAAATTTTTATTATTTATTTATGACATCATGGAATTATCCATTTGACCCAAATGATTGAACAACTTACACACCACCTAGATGGAAAAATATGATTTCATTTCTAGGTTTATTTTAAAAATATCAAATTTCATTGTATTAATAATTATTGTGTATAGATTTATTGGTAGAATTTAATAGTGAGAAACAAAAGTATTAATGTTGGATTCAATGAGAGAGGATGTGATTTAATTAATGACTTAAATATGAGACTTAATGAGAGCCAATTGAATGTATGTAATAGTATTATTTTAGTTACATTTTCTGCCCTTACAATGGAGGGGAACCAAATTCAGAAGAAGGTTATTTTAGTAAAGAAAAATTCCAGAAGCCAATACCTCATTCACACTTTTATAGGTAATATATATAGTAAAAATACATACAAAATAAGATAAAATACAAGGTTTTACTTTTCTACAAATTTGTATTTGTACTTCTTCCAAACTGATCCTTTTGTTGTATTTGGTTGCATTGCAATCTTATTTGCACTAGTATAAATTCATGCGAGTACAAATGAAAAGAAYGCAGATTTTGGTTTAATTTTATTTTAGGTTTTACTTTATTCTATTTCTGGTCTTATTTTACTTCATTTATACTACAATCAAACAAAGTAAGGTAAAATATGAAACAAAAACAAATCATAATTTACATCCAAATCATTTGTACTATCATAGTTTTGCATCAGTGCAAAGCACTGCAACCAAAAACACAACCTTAACCACAACACGACCCATACACAACCATTTTAATGGTTATGAGTAGTGTTTTCAAACCATTGTTGACCTAGATGGTTGGACCATTCAGCCTAGGAACCATCAAGCCAACTAGTTCCGTTTCACCCTTAACCTATTCCTTGGCCAAAAATCATTGACTTGGTCAACGGTCCGTTGATCCGGGTGGTTAAACTATTGACCTGTTCAACTTGGACAATTGCTTTTGCTCATTTTTTTTATTTTAATAATATATATATATATATATATATATATATATTTGTTTTTTAAATTAGAATAGACTGGCTGCTTAAACCAGACGGTCAAACTGTTGACCCAAAAACTAGTGGCTAAAATGGTTCTGGTTCCCGTTTGGTTTTTAAAACATTGATTCTGAGTCAACACAACGTGGTGGTAGTGAACAACTCGGTATTTAGCTATATCTTGTTGAAATATTTGCAAACTAGGATGGTGTTTGAAAGCGTGGGCATTTTTGGGGACCAATTTTCAAAAAAAAAAAAGCCTATTTTTGCTAAACCCATTTTTCACAAAAAAAAAAAAACACCTTGATATGTTTGGGAGTGTTTCTGCCACGTAAGCAGTGAGCAACACTATGTTGTTTGATAAGGTGATTTTCATCACCATTTTTCTGTCATGTATTCGCCATATCAATCAACCATTGGGGACAACGGTTCACCGAAGCATGAAATGCCAAATTTGACATTTCATGCAACAATTGGGTCCCAATTTACGAGACATGCCCATTTTCAGTGTTTTTTCAAAAAACGCTTGAACCAAACAATCATATATGTGGGTGTTTGTTGAATTGCCTACTTGGATCCGATGTGGCACCATTTTTCAGAAAAAGGGCCACGCTTCCAAACATCCCCTATATGTTCCATGCCAGTATTTTCATCTTTTCAGAAGCAGCCCGCCAGACCCCAAGAGGCGTTTTTGTTCTTAACAGCCTTCGTTGGGTTGAGGAGGTCTGGCGATGGAGAAACGATGATCTGATGCCGTCTGTGTTGCTAGAAACAGAATGCGGCTGTGCGGTTTTCGACTCTATCAAAATCTTAAGTATTGCAAAATGACTAGAAGTTGTCTTCTTCATCGGTGCTGGAAGCTGAATTTCGAGCAGTTCGGTTGGGCATGGAATCTATCCTTTTAAGCAAATCTATCGTTATTCTGGGTCAGCAAACGGCAGAGTCTCATCAGTGGGAAGCTGCGAATCATCCTTGGTTTCCCCAGTTTTAGTCAGAAGCTTCTCAAAACCATCTTCACGAAATCCCAAAACAACATCTTCAAGCTTCTTTCCGTTAAATATGTCAATCCCCAGAATGTCTGAGAACTCCTCTCTCTCTCTCTCTCTCTCACATTACTCTCGTCGGAACAACCTTCTCTTACCTCACAAAAGAAGAGGCTTAACCTTTTCACCTTAAGAAATGCAGTTTATATCAACTCAACATTGTTATATTGCCTTCACTAAACAACAAACCTTCACTAAACAACAACACAAAAGGGACCCATTCAAAGATTAAAAACTATTAAACATGACCCAGAACATCCCATGAACATAGAATGAACCATCCAAACCAAGGCTGGTTCAATCTTGATTTTCTTTTTCTTTTTGGATTTTTCCTACTTCTAGGCGATGCCCATATCACGATTTTCAAATTTCAGAACAAAATTAAGCAGAACCAGAAGGTTCAATCCTAAAGGTAACAACCCCAGAGCATTCCATAAACATACAATGAACCATCAAAACCAAGGCTGGTTCACCCATATACATGGGATCTCTGGTCTTGATTTTCTCTTTCTTTCACTTTTTCCCACTTTTAGGCCATACCCACATCAAGATTTTGATTTCAGAACATAATTAGTGATGATCGGTATAAAGAACAACCAATAATAGAAGGAAAAAAAAAAGCAGATTAAAGGAAGAAAAAGCGCAACAAAGAAATTAAACAAAAAATTGTTACAAAGAAAGCTACGTACCTATAAGCTGCTGAGGGTCAAATTGATAGATATTGATTTCAGTGATTGTATCAATTCTCAGAGTGGGATCTCTCGTCTTTTCATCCAAGTAATAGACTATCAATTCTTCATCAGTGGGTGCAAATTTGAAGCCTGGAGCAAGCATTATGCCTTTAACGTTTTTCCATGGTTTTCTTTCCATGTTAATTCTCTAATCTTCCACTAAAGAGTCAAAACAAACAACAGAAACGTGACGACAGAGAAAGAAGAAAACAAACAATGATCTTATCTTATGTGTGTAAATATATAAGAGTCTCGAGCTGAGCTGTGGGCTTTTCTTTTTCTTTTTTTCTTTTTCTTTTTTATTATTTTTGCTTCAAGGGGGGGCTGCACATGAGTATGTAGAGATGATGTTGGCTTTTTGCAAACAGCCAAGAGTACAGTGCATCAAGCATAGCAGATCAGGACTGGCTACCTTTTTTATAATAATGTACAGATTTACCAATAATCCCTGCATGTACACACTCCCTCTTTGATATGATGAAATCTGACAGCATCCCTCAAGATAATTTCTGTATTCGTGATCTTTGATATGAATTTTGCAGCAACATGGCAATCTTCACACGTTCGAAGATTTTTCAATATTCTAATGGGTGTACCAGGTGCTGCTTTTAGCAAGCCATAAGCCATGGCCAATTTCTCGCTATGACTCCTCAGTACATTTTCCTTCACATCAGCTTCCACATCATGTAAGACAACTTTAGTCGCAGGAGTATATCCAACTTTGCTGATTCTTTCCATCAATTCCTCTAATTTTTGATATATTTTACCAGAATCTGAGTGGGACATGTCACCGGAGATGAAACAATGAACCTTATTACCTATCTCAATTGAGCTCCAGCCTGCTGGTTTCCTCAAGCCTTTTTGTTTCATTAAACTCCTTATTTCTCGTACTTCTGACCACATCCCAGCAGCCGCATATATGTTTGACAGCAAGACATAGAAACCTGGATCTACAGAGTTCAACTCAAATAGCCGCTCAGCAGCAAATTTACCAAGTTCAACATGGCCATGGATCCTGCATCCACCCAACAATGCACCCCATATGCCTGGAGATGGTTCAGTGGGCATTTGATTAATCAAAGACACTGCATCGTCGAAAAGCCCTGCGCGTGCAAACATGTCCACCATACAAGCATAGTGCTGCAGACGTGGGATGATGCCATGGACATCAACCATCTTTCGGAAATATCCTTGACCCTCTTCAACAAATCCAGCATGAGCACAAGCTGATAAAACTCCAACATAGGTGATGTGATTAGGTTTGATATTATTTTCTTGCATTTTCTCAAACAGAATGATGGGCTCGGCCCCATAACCATGGGTGCCATATCCATCAATCATGGAGCTCCAAGCAACAACACTTTTATTAGGAATGAGATTGAACAGCCTCTGGGCAGCAACTAAGTCACTAGATTTGGCAAAAGCATCCATCAAAGCAGTCATTACATACTCATCCAAGTCCAAAGCATTCCTGATGGCAAAACCATGACAGGATCTTACCAAATGGAGTGCACCAACACGGCCAACAGCAGGTAAAATTCCAGCTAAAGTAGAGCCATTCGGTTTCAATCCATTGTGTTGCATTTTTCTAAACAATTCAAAGGAATCACCTATCATCCCACTTTGGACATAACAAGAAATCAGGCAATTCCAAGCAATCAAATCTTTCGTAGGCATTTCTTCAAACAATTTCTTAGTCAACCAGAAGTCACCAGAATTTGCATACATCTCCAAAAGAGCAGTAGAAATGACAACATCAGCACCAAATCCATTCTTTATCACCCAAGAATGAATCCACTTGCCTGTATAAATTAATAAAAATTACTAACTTCAATTAAATATTAATAAATAGTGTATACAACAAAACACCCCCAGAGGAAACCATCCACCTTCTAGTTAGTCAAGCCTTATGCCCTCATCTGTGAACACAAAGAAGGTTCCAGAACGACCTATTGGTTTCAATTAGCAAGGAAATCTCATACTACTATAGACACAGTGGTTTATTTATCTTAGGCCTTCATTTGGGAGTCTCCAACAGGCTTTTTGTGCTTTTTATGTTGGAGAAGCCAAAAGCTAGTGAAAAAAAAATGGCAAAAAAACTCAAAACAGGCTTTTTTTTATGCAAAAAGCTCCATTGGAATTAAACAAAAAGGCAACGAGTAGCCAAATAGTAAAAAAAGTGCCTTTTCAAAAAGCACATCTCAAAAAATGACTTTTCAGAAGTCTGTTTAGGCCAAAATGTACTCCAAACGTGGCCTTAACCATCTAAGAAATCAATTCAGACTTCCTACCCACAAGACACTATAGCTGTACACTGGGAATATCTCCCCATGAATGGGTAACATGCAAATACGGGAGATATTCTCAATGTGCAGCTGTAGTGAGGTGTGGGTAGGAGATCCGAACTGCTAAGAAATAGCCTATCGGATTATCCGATAACATTAAAGACAGATGTTCATAGACCTAAGTAGCAGAGAAAATGTTGGGAAACAGATTGTTGGTGCACACAATTATTTCACAGATTCTTGATTGAAGAGTTGGGACCAATTTTTGTACTATATAATTGAAGGATTTCTATATCATACAGACTGCAAGTTACTGAGCAGCTTTAAAATGTGAAATATTTTATTGTGTTTTTCCTCTCTATTTTCCATATAGTGATTCCTCACTTATCCAAAAAATGAAAATGATCACCTAGAAAGATCCTCTAGATCTTTACCAAAAAAGGTTATTGAGAAAAAAAATTTGGTAGCTAGAAAGTGTACTGCAGTGTTATTGAAAAAAAAAAAAATCGGTTGCTTTCCCACCTAATGTAATTCACCCAATCAGAGTAGCAAAAAACAAAGTTAACCCAATTAGAGAAGTCACTGGGTTTTTAGTATTTAGATAGCCCGATTCAGGATGCCTTATAAACATTCCCTTAGTTATATCTCTGCTAGGAGTAGAGACAACCTTTTGATTCTGTTGAGAATACATTGTGTTGCAAGGGTTTTTTTTAATTTGTCATCATAAGATTTTTGGTGTGTGGGTGTGAACAGTGAATAACACACCACATTCGAACCCTTCTTCTCTTCTTATTCTTTCTACTGATTCTAATTTATAACCGTAAGATATACATATTAGACCAAATGGATTTTAGCTATAGGTATACATTTCTCCTTGGTTTGAGAGAAACCAGTACAAATAAACAAATAGGTAACACCTTTATATAGCATTCAAGAAGGGACAATAGTAAGCCAAGTTTTGTGAACAAGGTTGTATATGGTCATTTCTCCTACATAGAATCAAGATTTGTAGGAGTTTTATGAATTAGTATAGTGTTAGTCTTGTATATTTACAGTGCAAAGTCTTGTATATTGTATTTCTAAACCTATATTTTCACTTACATATTTGTATTTGTACTCTTTCCAAACTGAGCCCAAGGATCAATATTTGCTTTCCCACATTGCAGATCTGTAGCCAGATTTCTACATCCAGGTATATGTGCTAGTCAGTTATTTTCTTTTTACTTCATGGACTCAAGAGGAAAAGACTCTTAGCTGGACTAAGCTAAGCATCAATTTCAACAGGACTGTTGAAATATTGACAATAGAGATGGGTATAGACTATAGAGAACAAGGACGATAAAAATAAGTATGGCGGTTTGACAGTGCATTGTGTAGAAGTACCAATTTTCCTCCTTTTGATAAGAATTGCTTCTACTCGGTCTACTTACATTGGAACAATTCAACAATGGGGTCCCAGGTTTCCAGTGCTCTATAATTGGCTCCTCAGGGGTACTAAATACTTAGTAGGGAGGGCACCAAACCTTGTTGGTTTGAAGCCTTGTATACCTAATTTATAAATATAAGCATAAATATGTACTATCATATTCATGCAAACATGGGTATTAGTAGTATTAAATGTGTAAATAATAAAAAGACATCATATTATAGTAATATCTTACAATAAATATCCCTTTCTCATCATCATCCCCTCTCACTCCCTTCTTACGTAAAATAATTATATATACAAATCAATACATATATCTTTACATAGTTTAAAAGCATATATAATTAGAAGTTTAATAATTAAGGTTAGTTCAAGTTGCCCAAAGGCATCAATCCTAACTGAACCTGACTTTATATCGAGTTGGCATTTTCTAACTCTAACCCTAATAGAATCTTCAATCAAACTCATCTTTTTATCACATTGACATTTTCTAACCTAACCCTAACCCAATCTTCAACCCAAATGGGTAGGACCAACCCAAGTTGCACCCCTGTTTTTCAGTAGCCTCTTACCTAATAGGAACTCTTTTGGGTATCCACAAAACCATATAAACAAAGAAGAACACAGATCTAAAAGAAGATAGTATAATAAAAGGTTCTAAAATACAAAGGAGTAGGAGCTTGGTTTGCTCAACAAAATTTATGTATTGAAAGTTACTTTCGGAAAAAAAAAAAAGTTGACACTGGGAGATAGGGTGTAAAATATTATTAAAATCAAACTTTAGTCAGAAAATGGAGTTTTACAGTCAACTTGAGAGGAGTTATTTGACATTTTGACTTCTTTTTATTGCGGAGGATAGGAATAGGATGAGTACAAAGTCCATACAGATATATGTTATGCCATTTTCCAGTTCTGTTCATATCAATACTGAGCTTTTATAATCCACGAATAAATTAAAAAAAAAACTATCCAGGTAAATTTTATAAAAAAGTAATTATTTACAGAAAATAAAAATATATATGAGTGTGAAGTCATCAAAATTCAATTACCCTGGTGAAGGAACCGCAGCTGTGAGCAAGCAGAGATTACAGATGCAATAGCGACAAAGTCAACAGTCACACCTGCCACCCTCATCCTATTGTAGACTCCTAAGGCTTCTTCTGGCCTCCCATTCTGTGAATAGCCCGATAGAAATGCATTCCAAGAAACAACATCTCGTTCAACCATTCTGTCAAACAATCGGCGTGCACTATCAATCAACCCGTTTTTCATATACATATCCATTAACGCAACCGTCACAAACGGACTTGAATTGAGTCCAAATTTCACACAGTGCGCATGAAGCTGGGCCCCTTGACTGAGCATAAACGAAGTGGAGCAGGCTTTGAGGAGGAGAGGGAACGTGTATCGGTTAGGAGAGACACCAAGCTCCAACATTTGCAGATAAATTTGAAAGGCCTGTCGGAAGAGGGAGCCACAGATGTGAGCCTGGATGAGTGAGTTGAAGAGAAATGCATCTGGATGTTGCGGACATCGGTCGAAGACAGAAAGGGCGGATTCCAAGTCCCCGAACTTACCGTAGGAGGCGACCAATTTGGCTGTGAGACTGAGGTTACAGGGTGTAGATAACTTGACAAGCTGAGCGTGGGATTGCTTGAGGAGAGAGATGGATTTGGTTTGGGAGAGAGCCAAAGATGGAGAATTCTGACTAATGCAAGCTAGCTCCATGGGTTAAACCGTAAACAAGCCACACTTGGTCGTAGCGCTGTCATCTTCCCACCTTGAATTCGATGAAGTGATTTCTTGGTGCGGCCGCTGCAATTGATCTATTTAAGGCCATGATTTATGATTTTCGGTTGTAGCCCTAAGCTACGGTACCGGTGAACTCAACCGTAACAGAGTTTTTCAAACTGAGACAAACATAATTAATTTTCATTGGTAGCAAACTAACGGTCGGGTGGACAACGAGATTTATCCCAGCTCCTGAACAAAGCAAATTCCTAACCTTTATGCTTTTCAAAGAGCCCCTGAACTTTCTAATTTTTAGCCCCTATACTTTTATACTTTTTATGCTTTTCAAAGAGCCCCTGAACTTTCATATTCTAACATTTTACCCCCTCTATTTCCTCACTCATTAATGATAGATTTGGTTGCTGAGAAACTCATGGTATGGGAAGAATCTTTGGGGAATATTCCCTTTTTCATGCCTTTGTTTCAAAGGAAGCCCCGGGAAAGGAAGAAAAAAAACAGGGTCGTGAGTTTCCAAAAATCAATGGGGTCTCATCAAAAAGACCCCATTCAGAAAGGCAAATTGTGAGAAAATATTATCGAGAGGGACCTACCGGACTTCGTCCCATTTCTTCTAGTCGGCCAATAGTAACATCTTCGGCATCGCCTCTAGCGTTTTCCTCGTTAGGTAAGTTTCGATCTGGCATTCTCCCGTCATTTCAGTTTATTTTTATACCATTTTTGTCTTGTTTCATTAGATGGGTTCCCCTCCAAATCTCATTGCCAATTCCATCTATACTTGGTCGTCTAGATCTGGCTTTTGGCATTTGAGTTCGCTAGTTCCTTTCTCATCGCCAGTTCATTCGTCGGAGCTCCAGATTTGGCTTCTGGCATTTGTTTGTTCCAGATCTGGACATCAACATGAATATGAACTCAAATCTAGCATTTGTTCGCTCATCGGACATTAACACGAACCCAGATCTAACGTTCAAACCATTTTTTTTATTCTATTGATCTCAGATCTACTGTTTTTTTTTGTTGATATATATATATATATATATATATATACATACATATATATTGCTTCAGGTCATCTAAAACAACAAAACATTGTATCTTGGCATGAGGTAACACATTCTCTCTTTCATTTTTCTATGTATTGTTGATCAATGGATGGCTATTTTAAGAGTTATTATTTTTATAAATTTACGAAAACAATATATAATGTATCATGAAGGATTCGGTTGTGCTAGTTTTTCATATATTTTAGGAGTTACTATTTTATAAATTTAGGAAAACAATATATAATGGATCATGAAGGATTCGGTTGTGCTAGTTTTTCATATATTTTAAGAGTTATTATTTTTAYWAATTTAGGAAAACAATATATAATGGATCATGAAGGATTCAGTTGTGCTAGTTTTTCATATATTTTAAGAGTTATTATTTTTATAAACTTATCTGTTTATATTAAAAAAGCATATCCGCTTCTTTTCAAGAGTGAACTTTCAGTTGTGCTAGTTCTTCATATATTAAAAAAAATCCAAAGCATTGGTAGTTATTCAATAATCCAACCATTAATCAAATGTTATATTTGGATTTTTACCATTCATCTCAAACTTGAGAGGTCATTCCTTTTATAGCATGTATGTGGGGGCTTGTTATGTAACATTGTCTTGGGATAAGTTAAAAACTTGGTGATGTAGGATAGGGAGAGATATCCTACTAGTGTGTAGGTAGTGGAATGGGTATTGTAGAAAACAAAATAGAAGATGATAATAGAAGAATAGATAATCATGTAAAAGAGAAATAACCCTTAGAAGAAGAAGAAGGAGGAGGATGAGGAGGAGGTGCACCTCACAATTTCATACTTCAATTTCTCAAACTGTTAGTAGTCAAAACTACCTGATTTGCAGTGTTCCATTGGCTCTCATTTTAAAATTTATGAAAGAACTCATCCAACTCTTCATCTAGTGTTTTAAAAAGGTCTATGAGGCTTGCCTTGAGGCAAGATTCAAGAGAAACACCATGAGACTTAACCTTTGACAATCATGCTTACAAGTATAACCACATACTTCAACCTTAAGGCACCTTATGTCAATAACATGTCCACCATGTGTGTGTATGTGCATGCGATTATTTAAATTATTAGTTATTTAATACCTATTTGCATGAACGCAATTAAATCTTTGTTAAGCTCCTAGTACTTTATAGTCCTTTATATGATGATGATGATGATTAATTCATCTATCACATTCTTGTTAAATATAAATAGTCTGTGTGCATAGTTTTATATTTTTTTCTCACACATTATAATATCTTAACATCTCAACTCAGACCTCACACTCTTTAAAATATTGCTATCATCTCATAGAAACAGCTCATAAATTGTATATAAGTTATGATGTTGCACATTTGGTGAAATTGAGTGCACAAACTGCTGCTCTAAGAAACTTGACTGAAGCAAAAGCAAGTAGTCCATCAAATATCCAAAGCTAGTAACGCAATTGTTTCTTATGTCTAAAAGGCTGTTATTGAAGCATCCCAAGAGAAAGCCTCTAAGTGCTGATTTGTTGTGGGTTTTATATGGTTATTCAAAGTGGGCTTATTATAGCTCTTTGAGGGTTCATATGTGAATGCCATCAACCCCATAACTGGTTTGTGTTATGTTTGTCTTGTTATTTTGTTGAATATTGTTTATTTAATGTTTTTTATTTAATATGTTTGATTTGTGTGTGTTTTTTTGTGGGTAAAAACTTGTAGAAAGCAGGAAACATACACACACAGAGTGTGAGAGAGAGGGAGAGGGAGAGAGAGAGAGAGAGAGAAAGAGAGAGTGTGTGTGTGTAAGAGTAAAGAGAGATAAGTTGAGAGGGAGAGAGAGAATGAGTGAGTGAGTGAGTGAGGGAGAGAGAGAGAGAGAGAGAGAGAGAGATTAGGCCGGATGGGCCATAGTATCCACTAAACCTTCAAACTATATTTTTTTTAATACTATTATTTCAAATACATTGTGTGACAGTTGATTATTGTTAAATTTTCCCTATTATTTGATTAAATTGCCCTCTCATTAAAAACATTAATACCAAGCAAGGTTAGATCATTTATTCTATATAAACACGGATGGACAATGAGATGTTGATTGTGATTGCTGGAGTTGCAACTAGTGGAGTTGCAGTTGCATTGACCCTTGTACAAGAATGGTTGGACTATGTTAATAGGGAACCTTCTGTCAATCGAGACTTACAAAGACAAGATTTATTGGATCGGTTGTATAAGGGATGATAAGTTGATTGTTACAACCAACTCAGAATGGGGAAGGAATCCTTCTACAGGTTGTGTAAAATTCTATTGAAGATCGGACGACTTCATGATACATTGAAGACTAGTGTAGAAGAACAAGTTGTTAGATTCCTGTACATTTTAGCACATAATGTTAGGAATAGGACTATGGGATTTCATTTTAGTAGATCTAGAGAGACTGTTAGCCGCCACTTCAACTCTGTGTTAGATGCAATTTTGAGTTTAGAAGATAGATACCTGATCCAACCAAGTAGTCTTGACACACCACCAAAGATTGGAAACCAACACGACTTTTGGCTATATTTTCAGGTAAGGAAAGTGACAATATTACATATTTCAATTATCTATGTTGATTTAGGTAGTGAATCACATAGTACAATCAATATGCTTTGCTTGGTAGGATTATGTTGGGGCAATTGACGGGACACACATACCTGTGAAGGTTTTGCTTGCAGATGTAGCTAGATTACACGGTCGTAAGTCTTACCCAAAACAAAATATCCTTGTTGCGTGTTATTTCAACTTGCTTTTCACCTACGTGTTACTTGGATGAGAGGGTGCTGCATCGGACTCTTGCATGTTAAGTAGTGCAATGGCAAAGGAACACAAACTACATGTCCCACAAGGTGCTAATACATATCCATATAGGCCATATCAGGTGTAAATGTGGAAATTGGTAATTGGTATCTAATCATTTTCTCATATGTTGAAATAGGTAAATATTACTTGGTATATTCTGGGTTTGCTCTAAAGTCTTGGCTTCTTAACATTGTATTAGAGCACAAGATACCATTTGAAGGAATGGGGTGCACATCAACCTGAGAACCCCAAAGAATTATTCAACCTCCGTCATGCTTCACTATGAAATGCAGTTGAGCGAATTTTTGGGGTTCTCAAGAAGCGGTTTCCACTATTGGTTTCTGAGTAGCATTACCCATTCAAAACAAAAGTAAAAATTGTCTATGCATGTTGCATATTGCATAACCATGCCATGGTTGTGGATCCGTATGACCGAATCATGTCTCAATATGATCACAATGTTGTTGAAGGTGCAACGGTTGATGCAGATGATGGGGAAGTGGTAGATGATACTCAAGCATCTCAACCGTCTCAACACGTTAGTAGAAATGAGTCTGTCAGAGAAGGACATCGTCTTAGAGACGAGATAGCAAATCAAATGTGGGCAGATTATCAGTTGGCTCGGTCAAGGCATCGGCGTTAAATTTCTTTGTTTAATCTTCACATGTATTTCTATGTTTGACTTCACAATGTACATGTACTCTTTATTTAATTATTAGCATTTTTTATTTTCTTCCCTTTGACTAGTTTATGTTAAGAACACAACTATCTTGTGTTGGACATTATTATTTTTAGTTGTACTATGTGTGTGTTTTTTCTTTTTTTTTTTATGGATGACTGGAATGATGGAACTTGGTATAAATTTGGTTGATATTGGTTGAAATATTGTTATGAACTAGTTGAGGTGGCACGCTAGATGTATGAATTTTATTGTGTTCATTGTGTAATTTGACTTATTGTTGTTTGGTTAGAATTAGACATGGATACTAAATCCAACGAAATTGATGGTAGAGCTAATAAGGTGAACATGAGTTGGACAAGTGAGATGGATAACACAGATTGAAACTCTGGTGGAGCAAGCCACCCTTGGACACAAGGTTGACAAGAGCTTTAAGGCTTTGCCATACACTACAGTTGCAAGAGCCACAAGTCTAAAATATGAAGTGGAGTGTGTACAGAACCACATTAGGAATTGAATGAAGACAATAAAGAAGAACTTTATGATAACGAACATCATCAACTCTAGTGGTTTTTCCCAGAGCACCGTATGTGGAATGAATACATTCAGATAAACTTCAATATGATATCCATCCTAAATATTACAATACACAAGTAAGATATGAACTTGTAGCAATTGATCCATTACAACTAAACGGGGACACCCAGAAACAAAGCAGTTTAGGAGAAAATCCATCCACAACTATGACCAACTAGCTATAGTATGTGGAAATGATCAAGTAACTGGTGTTGGGGCATTCACTAATAGGGAACTAAATAGGCATGAGGCAGCACCAGTGAATGAAACCACTAGCATGCCAACAATGCAAGAGCCTGTATTTGATGAGRTTAATGGAGACAATGTTGGTGACTCAACTCTTCAGGCTAGGTCACCTGAGGAGGGTAGCTTAGCTAAGTGGAGGGGTTTGCGGAAGAGAAAATGTCTGAGAACTCCTCTCTTTCTCTCTCAGACTCTCACTCTCGCCTGAACAACCTTCTCTCACCTCACAACTTTTCACCTTAAGACGTGCAGTTTGTCAACTCATTCACCAAACAAGAAGAC